TGTGTTGTCTTTAAGCAGTGAATAGACCAAAACCAAATTTAGGCTTGTCCCGTACACTTGTGAAACTCCGGCAATTTTTGGTTTTGCCCAAAAATTACGTCCCCCTTTTTCTCGCATTCTGTCCGCTGTGCTGATGCTGAATTCGTGCCATAAAATTTTCCAAGCGCGGTCACTTCACTCTGCATCACTCGGCATTCTTTTACTGGAGCAGTTCAGCTCCTTACGCCACTGCTTATGCTTTGTCCTGCCAGCAACGGCTGCGTCATGTGCCAGATACTGTTTTGTGATGTTATCCATTGATGGGGCACCGGGGTTGAGTGCAAATTTCCCCAGCCTCTCTCGTCTGTCATAAAGAACAAAGCGTTTCGCACAAGCATCTTGACTCGCTCGCAGTAAACATATCGTTGGATATGTTACTGCTGTGGCGTTCATTTCTCTACGTGTAGTGTTATTGCTTGATCTCTTTTACCGTTTCATTGGTGAGTGGTTATTTCTGTGCGGCAGGTAAAAGCTACCGTGTTTTATACTAACCGCGTGCTCACAGGGTTGGCAGATCGCCTTTTAAATACGAAATATGAAATTCTCCTAAGAGATGTAAAAGTTAGCCAAAGAAGCATACGTAAAATTCATTTAAGGAAGGGGAAGAATCACGGGCCTGGCCAAGTTCGTGGGAAGAAATCGCAAAAGCCTTATTCGACTGCTGTCTCTTTGTAGTAAAGTTTGCATGCCACTGGTGTCAGAGCAGTACTATAAAGCGCTATTACATACCCTTGTGTACACACACGCACACAGAAGCAATCGCACACCAATAAAATATTTCGGATAAGTACAAAAAATTTTTATTCCCATGGAGAAACTGTGGCATTTGTGAAATACGGTATGATTCGAAAGCAGAAAAGAACACGTTTGAGGAAGAGTATTACAAAGTACTGAGGGTCGGTGGATCTGTAAGTTTCCCGTTAATTTTACGATATTTCAACAAATTTCTCCCGCAGAATCGAGCTACTCGTTAGGCGCAACAGAACAGAGCCGGAGCAAATAATGCAGACGTGACCAGGAACCGAAAAGAGGATTCGCCTTGGAGCCAGGACCCCGCTGCAAAACATATATCTCCCATCTCCCCTTATTCATCTTCTATGAAAGACGGTGGCATTCAGGATTAGCCCAAGTGTTAACAACTATCAGCTGACAAGGCTGTCGATGACTCTTTTTTTCAAGGTTGCCTAGGAGCAAAATGACCGCGGGCATGACTTTCTGGTATATGGGTAATATCAATTCATCATCGATATGATAATCATGCAGACACTGGTTGTTTCACTAATACACGCGGAACTCTGGCTTTTCAGCGTAAAAGC